TTGCAGGTTTCAAGAGCAAGGAGTGGCTGCTACACACACAGAAGCAGGTCTGAGTATGCAGAGTTGAAGCAGGTGCACGGAGTGTTTTTGAACAGGTCCTCCCTTCCCTGGAAGTTGAGTCTGCAAAGGCTTACAACTCCTCCCATTGCCTTTGCAGGAGCTGCAGTCTGGCACTCCTTCTTTGCTCCTGCATAGTCAGCCTCTGGCGTGCCCTACGTCTGTGGTAAGCAACAAAGCCAGAGGTCAGATAGCTGAAAAGTAAATTCAAGGTTGCAGGTTTCAAGAGCAAGGAGTGGCTGCTACACACACAGAAGCAGGTCTGAGTATGCAGAGTTGAAGCAGGTGCACGGAGTGTTTTTGAACAGGTCCTCCCTTCCCTGGAAGTTGAGTCTGCAAAGGCTTACAACTCCTCCCATTGCCTTTGCAGGAGCTGCAGTCTGGCACTCCTTCGCTCTTGCATAGTCAGCCTCTGGCGTGCCCTATGTCTGGGGCACTCAGGAGAACTAGGCGGGGGAGTCTGGCCTCGGGGTGTCTTCAACTGGGGGTGCTGGACCAGGCTCAGGATCAGTATCTCCTTCTTGCTGCAGCTGCTGTGCAGCTGCTGGGGACTCTTCCTCCTCAGGTGCTGTTGGGGGTTCTTCTTCTGGGCTGACTCCAGAGGAGGCTGGGTTGCTCCCTGCCTCTTCTTCATCTGAGGAGTAGTCAGCCTCAACAGGACCAGTACCCTTGACAGGGGAGTAGGTTGTTAGAGAAGAGGAGGACATTGATGGAGAAGGGGTGGGGCAAAAGAGAGAGGGGGGTAGGTTGACAAGGGGAGAGGGAGAAACAGACAATAGGTTGATAAAGAAGGGGAGGGGAGACTGATGGAGAAGCGGTAGGGGGCAAACGAAAGAGGGAGGGAGGCTGACAGATAAGGGGAGAGGGAGAGTTCCCCTCCCCTTATCTGTCAAAGGTGAATCTTATTGAATTTATTGCCACAGAATGGGGTTCCGACTGCAAGTGGTTTTTTAAAAAGGTTGGACCAATTCCGAGCAGATAAGCATAGCAATGGGTATGAGTCGTGATAGCTAAATGGAGCCTCCATATTAAGGGCCACTGTACCTGTGACTCCCAGCTGCTGATGGAAATCAACAGGGCATGGCTAGCTCTTTCCTGTCTTCTAGAACAGAAATCCTAGAGAAAATAGCTCAAAAAAAACCCTTACCACAACCACCCACCAATCTTACCTCAAATATGTTGTCCCCCTTCACTCATCTCAGGGTTCGGGACAGCTTGCAATGGGTGAATAAAGTCCTTTACGTACAGTGTATGCAAACCATTTGAGGCTTAAAGGTCAAAAACAGCACTTTATGTTGGGCCCGGGAGCAAAACTGGAAGCCAGTGTAACAAGATGTTAAGTGTCTATTACAATGGGTTTCACTAAGCACCCTATCAGCTGCATTCTGTACTGTCTTCTAAACTGTCTTCAAGAGCAGCCCCTCGAAGACTGTGTTGGAGTAGTCTAACCTGGAGATTAACTAGGGCATGCCTTCATATTAATCCTGCTGGAACTCTTGGATGCCTTCAAAACAGGCGTGAATGAGTGCCGCCTCTGGCACCCGTGCCATACGTTCGCCACCACTGAACTAGGGCATGCCTTCATATTAATCCCGCTGGATCTCTTGGATGCCTTCAAAACAGGCGTCAATTCAGTTTCCTTCAGTTTCCTTCAGGGCCTGGAATCCGATGTAAGGATTAGGGGGAGAGTGTTTAGGTGATTTAAAGATAACTTTGAGGATCGTGTTCAGAAATGTGTGGGTTGTGAACCGGTAATGTGTGATTTGACCTCGTTTAATGTATTCAATGCCATTCAATGAAGCCATCCAAAGCTCTGGACTGGGTTGACCATCCTCAACGAGGCCTTTCTCTAGCTAAGCCCCCAGAAGCAGCCCTGCCTGCAGGAGGTCAGCGCCTGTCGCCCAGGGTCAAGTGGCCAAGAGGAAAGAGCTGAAAGCAAATTGAGACAAGGTGAGAGCCAATGCTAGTTAGCAAGATGGATGGCCTGACTGATATCTTGCTGCACAGTCTTGACAGGGTTAATGAACTGAGACTCAGCATGGTGTAGGCGTTAGAACAAGGGTGTCAAACATGTGGCGGGGGGGGGGCGGAGAGGCCCCCAGCTGGAGGGCTTCTATCAGGCCCGCAGTGGGACTGGCTGTCTTCCGCTGCTTCTTTCAGTTCTGCTGCTGTTGCATCCATCATAGGTTTGCAGCTTACAGATACACACCTGAACAGCATACTCAAGATTGCAACAGCACAGACATTTTGATGTAATAATTCAAAAATATTGCAAGAGTGCTAATGTTTTAAGCATGTTTTTATTTTAAGTAAAAAAAAACACCCTTTGTGTCCTTTATAAAGTTTATATCTCTGCTACCTGGCATAACCTTTTATGACAAACATGGCCAAGCCTTAAAAGGTCTTATTTATGTCAGATCCGGCCCTCATAACAAATGAGTTCGACACCCCTGGGTTAAAATGTGGGACAAGGACCCAGGAAACTTAGGTTCAAACATCCGTTCAGTTATCCAGTTTTGAACCACCTGATATAATCTGGGATGCCCTGACCTGAATAGCCCAGCCTAGCCCAATCTCATCAGATCTCGGAAGTTAAGCAGGGTCAGGTGTGGCTAGGAACTGGATGGGTGACCTCCAAGGAATACCAGGGCCGTGATGCAGAGGCAGGCAATGGCAAACCACCTCTGAATTGTCTCTTGCCTAAAAAACAAGTCTAGCTCGCCACCTAGTGGTACATAATGCTAAAGAGCTAGAACTTCTGGCTGCCAGACAATCTTGGGATCTCCTGGCTATACTACACACAATGCCATATGATAACTGATTGATTGATTAATTAATTAATTGGGATTGTCTTTTTGTCATCTAATAATAGAAACAAAAGTGTGAATTAGAGAGAGAGAAATAGAGGATTTTTGAATGATATACAAGAGAAACATGAAGTGTAGCCTCTTTACAAAATAATATACACAGATATGTCATCACAGGAATACAGTCGTCATCCCGTTTCAAGGAGGAACCTCTTCTTTAGGCACTTTCCTTGGAAGACTTTGGAAATGTCATGAGGACAACTGAATCCAGTTAGAATCATGAATGGCTCTGGAATTGTTCGAAAACTTCCATCTGATAAAACCCAACTACTGGACTACTTTAGAGACATCTCACAATTCCAAAGTTCATTTCTTATTGTGTATATTTCTCGTGTATATAAAACATGCCAGAATCCTTTGACGTGTTGGATACATGGGTACATCATTGTGTAAAAGTCGTATATTTTATGTTTCTTGCATATGTAATTCTAAATCTCCACACCGATGTAGAACTGCTTTTCTTTGCTTGTTTTGACCAATCATCTAATTTAAAGAAACCAATTAAAAACAGACAGCAGGTTTTTTTAAAACGCTGATTATTTGATATAAGAACTTACAGAAATTGTGTCAGAAGTCATGTTAGGAGAGGGATTCCTCCTCCCACCCCCCACCCCACCCCCATCACAGGGAATGCCTCTTGTACAGTGGTAACTCTTGCTACGTTCTCATGACCCATCGAAAAGCCAAGTACGAATGCAGAGACATTTCGTAGCAAACTCCACCTGCACTGATGCAAACACACAACCATGTCTCCAGAAGTGGTGAGGAAATTCATCCCAAAACTCTCATCATTTCACAGTAACTGTGTGAAACGAACAATAAGAAAAACGGCTTATGAGTAGCTGTTTGGTCCCGTGGAAGTAAAAATCACCTCGAGTAAGCCGGCAGGCAGATTTTTGTAAACTGGAAGACAGTTCTTCAGTCCCTGTTTCAGGCGGGGAACATACCACAGTCTTTACTCTCAGCATACGTTGACACGCAGGCAACCTTCACAGACTTGTTTGAAAGCCTACTCTAACCCTGAATATGGGTTGGCAGAGCAAAATACATGAAGCTGTTGTGTACTCAGGGGTCATTTTGTAGAAAAAGAGGTGCAGGAGCTCATTAGCATAACTCATTAGACCGGGGGCGGGCTCTGCAACTTACCTGGCTGCTTCTTGCTCTGACTGAGGGCTGCTGGGAGCAGGGGGTGGGGCTTGTTGTATGTGCCTGCCCGCTGGGCTCTTTACTGCCAGAGCTCCGCTCCTGTGCACTCCTGCAGGAAATGACCCCTGCGTGTACTGAATCAGACCGCCAGTCCATCAAGGTCAGTATTGTCTACTCAGGGTGGCTGCTGGCTCCCCAGGGTCACAGGCTGAGGTCTTTCACATCACTTGCAGCCTGGTCCTTTCAACTGGAGATGCCGGGGATTGAGCCTGGGACCTTCTGCATGCCAAGCAGATGCCCTGCCACTGAGCCATGGCCCCTGCCCGACCCTCCCCAACCTTGCCCTTATAGTTAGGGTTGCCAAAACCTGCAGAAAAATTCCTTGCCCTTTTAATAGAGGCTTAATGCATGGGAATGGCATGAAGACAGATGACGTCTCCAGGCATTTCTCTCTCTCCAGGCTGTGGTCAACCCTACTGGTAGTTACACCTGGCATGAGCCTGCTTGGATGGGTGGTGTCACTCCAAAAACTAGGAAGATCTGGTCACTAGAGGAACATTTGGAGCTACAATTCCGGCGGGTCATCCCATTCAGTAGCAGTCTGCAGATCTATGGGTGTCGGACTCGATATATTCTTGTGCCAATTTATGCAGATATAATTGATTAACCAGTCTCATTAACCACCTAAGGCTACAGTCTTATGCATGCTAACTAGGCCCAAGTCCCAATGAAATCACTGGGACTCACTCCTGAGTTGACACCAATAACTCATTTTCTTTCACTGAGTGACAGTTCTTACAGACACCCAAATCCCAATTCCCTCTGAAAATCTCTCCTGTAAAACTGCAGAAGTGTTTCTGTTCATTCTTTGTCCAACTTGAAATGCTTTTTTACAAACTGAAACAAAAGAGAGAGAAAGATTTTCGGATTTTATTCTTTCTCCGAGGAAGCACTTTCCTTGCTCATCAGACGACTCCTAAAGGCCAGGCTGCTGCTTCTCGAGATCCGCTCCTGGAATTCAGAGGTGGTAAAGAAATACAGGATAGGATCCAAGCAGCAGTTGAGGCTGGCCAGGCTTAGGCAAAACGGGTGAATGTACAAAATGCTTTTGACCGTTCCGCAGTCTGTAATGACCGTCTCTTTGACCATCATAAAGAAGAAGAAAACAATATGGTACGGCGTGAAACACACAAAAAACACCACAGCACATGTGGCCACCATTCGCAAGGCTTTCTGCTTTTCCACTGCGTTTTGCAGAGGCGTTCGGTATTCTTGAAGCGACACTTTGGTCTTCCAGGTGCAATAGACGACGACAATCAGAGGGACCAAGAAACCAATGCATTCAGCCACCATCACCATGACAAGAGAGGCAGCTTTGTTGCTGATCTTCTTGACTTCCAGTTCAGTGAAGCAAGCCTCCGTGTTTTTGAAATCTCTCATCAGCGGGAATGGCAAGCATCCGACACCTACGACAGTCCACCCGGCAACGCATATGGCGACATCGTACCTCCGCTTCCAGTTTTTGGCCCTGAACGGGTGGAGGAGGAAAAAGTATCTTTGCACGCTGATGCAGGTCAGGAAGCAAATGCTCGCGTACATGTTGAGATACTTGATGTAGAAGCAGAACTGACACAGGAAGATGCCAAAGGGCCAGTAGTTGTTGATGTAATAGTAGATCCGCAAAGGCAAGGAGAGGACATGCGCGAAGTCGGCCACGGCCAAGTTAATCATGAAAATGACGGTTTTGTTCTGCTTGCTGATGAAACGGCATAAGATCCACAGCGCCACACTGTTGGTCAGGAGGCCAGGTACGAAGACGATGGTGTATGACACGGCGTAAAGGGCGTGTTGGAAGTCTACGCCAGGTCCGGTGCAGTTGTCTGGAGAGGCATTGCTTTGCAGTGACAGCCCATTGGAGGCCAGGTGGGCCACGTGGGCCACTCCCGCATGCTGATTCTGCACACTGTAAAAATTAAAAGATGGCACACATTGTTGTGGTTGTTGTTTAAAGAAAAAGAACCCAGACACCGAAAAGGAGCCTTCTTCCCATCCACTAAAATCTATTTCCTCCCATAGGAAAAGAAAGGAGCCAAAAGAACACCTGAGCACACCAGGGAAAGGTAGGGTTGCCCTTTGCCAGCCTCCATGTGTAACAAATAAATATACACTGCAAAAACCTAAACTAATGTGTTCTATTTATCATTGAGTAAATGATGCAGTTTTGAGAATGATGCAGCTTTGAGAATGACAGGAGTACCCCGTCCATGAATGTTAGCGGCACAATGTGTCTTTTGTAGGACCGGCAAAAAACATCCATACAACTATTAAGAAAGCTGTCCCCCTTTTTGGAAGACTTCACGCAAGGAGAAGCGGGTTCATAATTCTAGAAACTCCCGTTGGGGCTTGACTTTTAAAACACTGATGCAAAATGGTCTGGTAGTTATCAATCTGTATGTACTGAATGTTATTGCTTGTTGAATGTAATGAATATTTATACCTGACTAGGATGAAATAATGACACACTATGCACTTTACTAAATGATGACCATAAAGAAAACACATTGGTTTGTTAAAAGGTTTTTGCAGTGTATATTTATTTGTTACTAGACTCTCCTAACACTGCAGCTCGGGTTGCTTCAGCCTCCATGTGGGGCCTGGCAAGTTCCCAGGATTACAACCGATCCACAGAGAACAGAGATGCAGACAACGGCTCCTTTCGAGGGTGAGCTCGACGGCATTTTACCCCACTGAGGTCCCTCCCCAGGTTCCACCCCAAACTTCCCAGGAATTTTCCAACCCAGAGCTCACAACGCTAGATAAAGTCTTCCATGGGTCAGAAAGGTAGATCATTCGCTCTACCCAAAAGATGTAGGATCTGGAGAGCAAAAATGTCCGCCCTGCCTAATGGACTATAGGAGAGGGGTTCAATGCACCTCCCCCTCTCCTTCCAAGGAGAGAAGAAGATCAGAGGCCAAGCTAGGGTGGCCAAGTCGTTTCAGTCGCCCCGGCGGGGGACTCCTGCGTGGCGACTGGAGAGCACGCCACACACCCCCCAGGGCCCGATCCGCCGCCGGCGGGGAACGGGTCTCTGGGGCGGGGGGTTCCCCGCCCCCCGGGGGGGACTTGGCAAGCCTAGGCCAAGCAGGGTCTCTCTCGGGAGCAGGTGTGGCTGCCACCCCTGCCAGCTGTGGGTGGGAAGATTCCTGGAGACATAGGGGCGGAGCCTGGGGAAGGGAGGATCCTCAGTAGAGTACAAGGCCAGAGAACTTTACCCCACATGAAGCCATTTTCTCCAGGGGAATAGATCTTGGTTGTCTGGGGATCAGTTGTAATGCCAGGACAATGTCCAAGGCCGCACCTGGAGGCTGGCATCCTTAGCAGAGTATCTTTCATTTCAGCTCTTATGCACTGAGGGCCTGGCTAGAGGAGACTCTGGTGTGTGTGTGTGTGTGTGTGTGTGTGTCTGTGAGACTGAAGGATAACAGAACGAAACAGGGCCCTGTGGTCTTGGGAGAGGGGTAGTTCTTGCCTTACCCTTATTGTACAATGTTACATCTAAG